AGTCATGTTATAACACCCTACGCAACTGCTACGGTATAACAAGAAAGTGTAGGGAAGATTATAAAACTGGAGGTTGTTAGTAAAATGTCTATTTGACTGCATAAATATTACTGTGACTTAAATTGGGATTTAAAATAAATGTTTCCTAATAGAAATATGGAGAATGTCGCTGACTAGCTGTTATGTAGACCAGTGCTCCCCAACCTTTTTATCGCCGCGGACCGGTCAACGTTTATCCGCGGACCGGGGTTGGACCGGGGGTTGGGGACCACTGATGTAGACCTTCTGTTTCAATCAAAGTCACTGATTTGGAACAAGTGTGAATATTAAAGGAGAACTATGGGGTCAGGGCTTTTCCCCATAGTTCTCCTTAGGGTAACGGTAGCATCCTCCCGTCTCCCTAGGCTCAGTATACCGCGAGCTACAGCTCGCGGTATACTGAGACGCCGCAGTATAGCGCGAGCTGTAGACAGAAAAGAAAGGCATCCTTATTTGCACATCTAGCATTTACAAAATGAGATGTTACAAAGGCAGTCTTTTGTCTCAGGAGAGTTTTCATTAGAGACTACATTTCATTCAGAGACTTTTGGATTCCTTACAGTCCCATAATACATGTCCACAGAAAATCCCCTGCAGTTGCAGTCCCTTAAATAATATGATAATTTATTTGAAAAAGAGAATGAGAGGAATTGATCAAAACTGGAGCAGACAAAATTTGGAGCAGCTGTGCATGACAACCAATCAGCTTCTCTCTTTTATTTTCAAATCTTAACTGAACAAACTGAAGAGAGACGCTGATTGGTTGCCATGGGCAACTGCTTCAGATTTGGTCTGCTCCAGTTTTGATAAATTCCCCACTTTGCATCTTCTGGGATGCCATGAACCACCTGAGTAGAATTTTAAAAAATGTTTCTTTGAATAAATCTGGATTTCTTAGAAATGTTACCAAAGATAATATCCAGAAAATGTGTGCTACTTTCACTTTCAGGTTTACAATGTCTATTTAGTCATTGGGGTTTTCACAAACTTTTCAAAGAAAAGGAAATAACAGTTACGGTTTCATTTTCTACTTCTTTCTATACATACAAAAGGACTAAAGAAAAGAACTAAAAAAAATCTGTATCTACTAAAATATTGCTTACTTGGATTCATAGAGTAGATCTGCCACTCCTTGATATTGAGAAATGCCAGATGCCATGGTTTAGGCATCTTAGAGAGAACTGTACCATGTTTGTGCAACTGACAAAAACCTTGGGGCAAGCCCAGAACAAGATGGTATCTCCCAGTTGGTCTAGCAATGAATCTCCCAGAAAAGTGTGAGACTAGCCAAAGTAAACGGCAGTCAAGTTCAGTTTACTTACCCTTGACCTTTTACAAGATTAAATGGCACATTCCAGGCAGATGACTGTAATGGTTCAGAGACTCACAAAATGGTGGCTCTGAAATGCAGCTTTTTGCTCTAAATATTTTAAATGTTAAGAAGAATGTTACTACAGCCGGCTCTAAATTCAGCAAAACTGAGTGGAGCTAAATGAAGCCTTGTGAACCAAGGGGCTTATGTACAAAGCAGTGGCAAAAATTCACCACGGGTTATCTTCTCAGTGCATCTGCTTTAATATACAGTGATTGATTCACCTTTAGTGAATGTTTAGTGATTGTCACATTTATTGCTTCCATGGACATCCTGTTCAGTATAAGATCACATGGGACAGCACAGACTTCAGCAGCTGTCTATCTACCAGCTTAGAGAAGGGAGAAAGAAGAAAGGAGGGGGAGCAGGGGAGAGAGGAAAGGCTTGGGGGAGAGGGTGTACCGCCGATAGTCATGTAAGGGGCCCGGGCAGCCTTAGGGGCCCGAGCACCTTACATGTGTATTGGCCGACGGCCATACAGGTGCCTGGTGGGAGGTGGAGGCGGCCAGGCCCCCGCAGCACCGGAGGAAGCCGGGGCCCGTACTCTTCATATCCTCACTTGAGGTGCTCTGTACGGGCCTCCGGTGTCCCCAGGGGGTCTCCACTGCACATTAGGTTTTTAAAGATGGCCGCCGCGAGTGCCCACATTAAATTTAATATATTGCCGAACTGGCAATATATTAGATGGAAATCATTCCCTGGTGGTCCAGAGGGGAATCAGTATGAGCTGCATCTCTTGCTGATGCAGATCATACTACCTCGTGGTGCCGCCGCTGATTTAGCAGGGATCGATTAGTGTGGTCTGTACCAGTGCACCAGCCAGAGTGCAGAGCACACTGATCCTTCACTCGACCACCAGACCAGGATAATCCCCAAGTGCCACACTGGACCCAGGGATGCAGCCCCCCTTCCTGCAAAACAGGTAAGCAGGAGAGGGGGACATTTTTTGATTAACTATTTTTACTTTTAATAGTTGTGAGAGTGTGTTTTGTTTTTTTTTAAATTAAGCTGTGTGTGTATTTTTTTTAATGAGTGTGTGGTATGTGTGTGATATGTGCGTTTGTTTCATTACGTGTGTGTGTTTTTTAACCACGTCCGTGGGTTGACGTAAATGTACGTCCCCCGCTGGAAGTGGTTATACCAAGAATATGGCTGCCCCTGCAGCCGTGTTCTTGGTACCGTTTTAGGGCCTGTTCACACCACTTGTATTGCATAGAGGCCGACTCACTTTTTTGCCGGGCTGGAGGGGGTGTGGCGGGCCATTGAAGTGAATGGCGGTGTAGCCACGACCTCCGGCCGCAATGCGATCGCCCGCACAGAATCGGTGTGGTCAAAATGCTGCAATCACTATTTTGAACGCACTGCAGGTACAATGTGCCTTGCCACCCTGTGCGGGCGATGGCATTGCAGCCGGAGGGCATCACTTCAATGGCCCGCAACGCCCCCTCCAGCCTGGCAAAAAAGTGAGGCGGCCGCAATGCGGGGAGTGCGTTCTGGCCAGAGTCGGACTGGAATGCACTGCTTATGGTGTGAACTAACACTAAACCCTGTGTCCAGTAGACATGTGCAATTCGTTTCGGGAAAAATTAGTTTTCTGGACAAAATTCGTTAGCGGTAGTGTCTGTACGCATTTTTGTTTGTGGACAAATTTTCATTGCAGCAAAGTGACAATTAAAAAAAAAATGTAATGTCACTTTGCGAGAATTAAACGAACGATACGAACATAAACCGGAAATGAACATTCGTACAGAGTACCGCTAACAAATTTTGTCCAAATTCCGAACAAAATAACACAAAATCTGAGTGAAATGAGTGACGTGATTGGCTCAGTGTTCTCTGTACAGCACTGCGGTATATGTCAGAGCTATATACATGTATAATCATAGTGTGTGATTGTGGGGGTGTGTAGGCTTCTCTGTACAGCACTGCGGTATATATACAGTATGTCAGAGCTATATAAATGTATAATAATAACAGTGTGACTGCCTCAGCGTGGCGGCAGTGCATTAGTTATTTACAAACACTCAGCAACCAGCTGATCGGTGAGTGCTTGTACTCCGGTCTCAATCCTGACTCAGCTGTCACAGGAGGGGGGCGGGCGGTAGGGAGGAAAGCTCCACCTTATGTGAAAGCTCACAGCGCTCTACTCCACTCACTTCTTTCCATCCTGTGACAGGAGGTGGAGCCAGGATGTGTGGGAGGAGAGTTCCACCTCCTGTGACAGATTACAGCTGCCAACACCGCGCACTGCACCGCTCTACATCCTGGCACATGAGGCAGAGCCAGGAGGTGAGGGAGGAGAGCTTGGCCTTCTGCAATGATGACAGCTGTCACTGCCCTGCACCGCTTGGCATCCTGAAAGCTTCTCTCCTCCCATTGGAAGGCACACAGACCATTGCCCAGTGGGGAGGAGAGAAGCTGGGATGCACTGAATTTTCAGAAGCATCTTTGGCCGTCGTGGCACTTTCGGCAAATGTTTCGGCGGCCGAAATCTTGGTGCATCCCTAGCAAAAATATGTAATACTTTACACAAACTTTACGTTTATTTTACGTAAACATTGGCTTAAAACAAATTAAGAAGCAGCGTATGATATAACCAGTAACATATTAAATATTATATCTTATAAAATATTGCATGCAGTAATATAAGCAGGAAACCACTCTGAGTTACCTCCCCTGAGGACCCTTTAAACAATTGCTTGCCATGATCAACTGGAATAAGGAGAGCTTGTACACAGAGGCAGCTCTTTAATTAGGCGAGTTAGGCGGTCGCCTTAGGCCTCGCACCCACGGTGGGCCTCGCGCGGGGGTGGGGGGGTCGTGAGGATAGAAAAATTAACCTTTGTCGTTAAAGCGCTGCCCCGCCGCGACTTCACTTTCACTTTTCACCCGCTGCTGTGACTCGGCTCCTTCACCAGCCCAGCCTGTGATTCTGCAGTGCAGCCCCGGCAGTAGAAGCATCGAGAGCAGGAGAGAGCAGCCAGCCGGACCGCATTTGAGCTAGAGGACTGGGGCGGCTGCTGCATACTCACCACGGAGCTTGGGTACAGGCAGCCAGAACAGGATACACAGCGAACCGGGGATCGGACACAGTTTTGAAGAGTTTGAAGGTACGCCTGGAGCAATTCCTCACCTTAAAGAATTTTTTGAGGAAGCGTACATTAAAATTATTGTTTTTATATTGTTGTTATTTATTGTCTTTTGGAAATGCTAGTTGCTTGGCTGGCTGGTGCATTGTCTTCAGTCGTTTTATGAATCACTGGCCCGTAACAAGCATAGAGATATGAATCCTCAACTTTTTTAGACATATGTCTTCTGCGTGCTTGTTAGGGGTTTGTGATATCACTAATATATTAATTAGCTAGGCAGCCAGAGTACTAGCATTTTTGTAAGAGGGCTAGAAATGGAAGCCTCAGTATCTCTCCCATGGTAGGTGTACTTTAACCTTGAGGCCTCATTCACACAGCGTGAAGTCGGGCCGTACAGATCCGTGCTGCGTGCACGGCCGTATCGGGCTGTTCCCAGGAGGGACAGGTGCTGCGTGTGATTGCACGCAGCAGCCTGTTCATCTCTATGGCCGTACGCTCACCTGAGCTGCATATCCGTGTAGGTGCGGGTGTCCATAATCGGAAGCAGAGAGGATGGATCCTGTCTGCGTCCAAGCACGGACACACGGACCCGCACGGATGTGCAGTTCGGGTGACCGTATGACAGCGTACAGCCACGTCCTCCCATAGGGAAGAATAGGCTGCTGCATACAATCACTCATAGCACCTGTGCTTCCCAGGAACAGCCCTATACAGTCGTGCATGACGCATGGATCTGTATGGCCCAACTCCACGCTGCGTGAATGAGGCCTAAAACACCACTTAGTTCTAAGACCCTATTCACACCGGGGCGGTTCGGCCGCATGGATCTGCCGACATGAACGATCCTATACATTGCTATGGGGCCATTCATGCGACTGTGCTCCCTGCACTATTTTTTGCCGTGCTGATCAGTGCGGTTTCCATATAGCTTTCAATGGAGCCGATCAGCGCAGTTTTTGGCATTTTTAGTTGCGTTTCAGCACTGAAGCACAATTAAAAACTCCCAAAACCTCCCTTTTGAGATCAGCGCAGACCAAATCCAGTGCATTTCGGCACGGTTTGTGCCTGGAACCCAATGGATTGCATAATCCAAACCACCCATGTTCTGGGGCGGGAGTGGACGTGGTGGTGCATGCACTATTTTTTGTGATTGCACCACACCAAAACGCAGGGCAATGCTGTACCACGGGTTTCGGTGTGGACAATCACACTGTGGGCAGGAGGAGTGTCTGCTGCGATATTGAAATGAATGGTACCACCATGCCCCCTCCTGCCCTGAAATGCAGGAGGCTTGGTTTATGCAATCCAGTGCATTCCAGACATTGCTGCCCTGTGACCCTGGTCTCAATCATTGCTGTACCTTATTGCCGCTCTTCTCACTGTCTCTCCTCTCTCCTGGCTGTCTCTCCTCTTTCTCTCTCTCTGCTGGTAGTCTCTCCTTTCTCTCTCTGCTGGCAGTCTCTCCTTTCTCTCTCTCTGCTGGCAGTCTCTCCTCACTCTCTCCTTTGGCTGTCTCTCCTCGCTCTCTCCCTTGGCTGTCTCTCCTCGCTCTCTACCTTGGCTGTCTCTCCTCGCTCTCTCCCTTGGCTGTCTCTCCTCGCTCTCTCTCTCCTGGCTGTCTCTCCTCGCTCTCTCTATCCCTCCTGGCTGTCTCTCCTTTTTCTCTCTTCTGGCTGTCTCTCACTTTCTCCTGTACATTCTCAAAAAAAATTGCCTTGCTGCCCTAGAGTGTTTGGCTTTCGCTTGAAGAAAAGGTGGCAAGCCTAGTCAGCTCACTTCCCCAGACCCCCATACCAGTGCCGGTGCTAGCGTAAAGCTGGCCATACACTTATAGATTATCTACAGCTTTTCTATGGTCAGATGGAAAAAGTGCAACAGATTCCTCCATCTACGCTAAACTGTGTGGATGGAGGACTCTCCCACTGGGCCAAGCTTCAGTATCTTGCTAGTCGGCCCCGCTGGCTGTCAAAATACCTGAACAATGCCTCATCCAATCAGATTCAGATTCACTGGCAGATCAGGCCAGTGGGAGATTCCTCCATCCACACAGTTTAGCGTATATGGAGGAATCTGTTGCACTTTTTCCATCTGACCACAGAAAACCTGCAGATAATCTATAGGTGTATGGCCAGCTTAAGGCTGCTTTAGCAGATGCCTGAAGATGCAGGGGGGACCTGTATAAGCAAAAATCCTTTCTCCAGCCCTGGTCCCCTCCACTGGACGTCCTCCTATACTATCACTGATCATCACAGTTAATTTCTAATTGGTTTGCACTTTATTAATTATGGGTGTAAGTGGGGGCCTCGCGTTTGAGTTTCGCCTAAGGCCTCAGAAAGTCTAGAGCCGCCTCTGCTTGTACACTCTGCTTGTTTATCCAGATGGGGTTCAGGGACCTGGTGCAGAAAACAGTTTAATTATTAGTAAATATAAAGTCTTGGCCCTTGCAATAATAACCTATTTGTAGCAGGTGGAAAGTGAAATACCTAAACCAATGAATCAGGGACATTTGCAAAATAAAAATTACACACATTGATAAAACATGCTTTTTTCCCCTCCATGACTTAGGTAATATCACACATTATTTTGCTTGATATGCCACTTTTAGAATGCATTAAGTGATAATAGAGGCTAATAAATCAAGCCCTTGGTGAAAACATTTGTTAACAGAAGACATCTTAACACAAAACAACCACAAACTGTAACATTCAAATTACACATGATGACAAAAAAAAAATTAATAAGCAGTGGATTCCTTCAGTAACTTCAGAGATGCAGGCAGTAAAAATGATATGCCAAGCTTAACTCTTCCTGTAATACTTGTACTTTGTCCCATCTCTTCCAGCCTCCTTATTGGTCCCTTAGACTGCACATTATGGATGCACTGATATATTGGCCGAAAATGGCACTTTTGGCAAAATCCCGAAGTGTCCAATTTTGGTCTGAAATAGCTCTGCATCCGTGATTTCTCTCCTCCCCGCTGGGCGCTGCTCTGTGTCCCAGCGGGGAGGAGAGAAACGATCACAGGCGGCCGAACGCTGCGGGAGGAGAGCGCTGTGAGCGGCCAGCGTCTCTCCTCTCTGCACCGCTCAGCCTCCGTCACAGATCAGGAGAGCAGCAGTGTGGGCGGAGACAGCCATTGCTGTCACATGAGGCTGATTTTATTGCTGTTCCTGCTGGATAGATACTGCTTACTTTCTGTCCCAGTAACCATACCTATTGAGGTGAAATCTCCCCAATGAAGACACATAAAAAGCAATAATAACCCAACTGAGGATCCACATCTTTGCCTGCTATATCCAAAAGAAGAAACATTTTAATTGGAGTTGTGTTTTAAGGTCACTCAGTTACCTAAACCTTTCATCATTTTAACAATCACAGCTTTGCAATCTTCTCTTTTCATGTCATGTAAAGCCTGCTTTAGCTGTTCAATAGTCACAGGATACCGATTTAGGACAAGACTTGTTGGTGGCATTCCCCTACTTGTAGCTTCTTTTTCAATTTGTTCCACAATACTGATGCTTGCATTCCCAAGAAATTGTGCCAGCAATTTCCAATCTAACCCTGTTGGATGGATGTTGTCTAGCAGACAACAAAGCCTTTTCAGTGTTGATTCGTCAAGAAAATGTGTGCGGCAATTCCACCCAAAATGGCGTAAAATTCTTGTGTCGTGCTGTGGAAACAAAATTTCCCACGAGCGAACATTGCTACCACAAAGAGGAGCATTGTTCTCTTCAGCATTCAGGATCTGCGCAAAACTATATCCTTTGATTTCTTCAGTTATGCAAGACAGCATTAATTGCCGAATTTCTATGTCAGAGTCTGTAGACAAAGCCTCAGTTACATTACGCAACTCGATAGGACAAAGGTACAACTTTTCACAGCTCTGATTCCTCCCATTCCTAAGAAGAGCCTCAACTTCTTTTTCTACCTTTTCCAAGAGATTGTAACAGTCACCTTCTTTATCTTTGTCTCCCCAGCATCCAATTAGGTATAAAGATCTCTTATCTTTTGAAACCTCAATTCTTACCTGAGCCTCTGTGACCAACAGTGCTCCTTCCTTCCACAGTTTGCATCTGCCTTGTCCAAATGTGCGTACAACATGAATCTGAAGTCTGCCAACAAAGAAATGACTAAAAAATATCCTGCTGTCATTTCTCCAGCGATATACTACCCCTCGCAGAGTTTCCCCCCTTCCTCTCTGAAGTCCACCTCTTTGCAACCAAGCTGGCACAACATAATCCCCTTCCGGTGTACTTAAAAGTAGTTCCAATGTCTCCAGCAACTCCAAAGCTGCTTGAGCATCTCCTTCACCATCAGTCAAGTCGAGGGCTCCAACCATCTCCTCAAAACTCCATAATTGTCTGTTTGTTCCAGATGCCGGGCTCAAAGCAAAATTTCCGAATCTAGCAAAGATCTTTTGCAGGAGCCAGGTCATGTCTAAGATAATCACACCTGATGGCACTGGGGATGTAGAGTCACCACTGCCCGATGAAATGATTCTGGATGGAATGTACTGTGGCAAGTACAACAACTGTTAAAAAAGAGGACACAGATCAAACAGTTCACTCATTTAAAGATTGATATTGTTCTTAAAGTAGTCTTCTTCAACAATGTGCTCTAACTCTTCATAGCTCTTTCCTTCTCCTAAAAACTACAATCCCCTCAACTGTGACTCCTTCTTTCTTCTATTGCTTGTCTGCTCTCCCTTAAGTGTCCACATTATCCTGTTCTACAGCCATTCTTCCCCAGATTTATTTTTTTTACCTCTCTCCATCTCAATGTACTCCAGCTCGGTCCATTTAGTACTCTTTTTCATTCCTTAGCACATTTTCTCTGTCCATCCTATAGTTCTAAGTGCCTCTGCTCCATGAACCACCCCTGCTCTTTTCATCTTTCTTTTGCTGCTCTCTTCTTCTATGCCTTCTTCTATATCTCCCCAGTGTTTTTCCAAATGTCCTTTATCTCTCTGCTCCTGCCTAAACTTCTTAGAACCTCCCATAGTTCCCCTTATGTCTTCACCTCATGTACAAATGTGCCGTGTCTTCTAAGCTAGTCTACCAGTCCATGTGACTGCTATCACAAGCACATGCACTTCATTTATGTGAGCCTTGTCCCACACTTCCTCTATGAGTGAATCTAGAACTGAAACACCACACCATAATCGCCAAGATAAAATCAGATAGAAGTCTGTACATAAATCCAGGTCTTCCATCTGATTTTACATGGCAATAAACTTGTATGAAGGCTGTGGGCTTGGATGGTAATAAGCAAACTCTCAGGGATTCTGCCCCATCTATCCACTCCCTCTAGCATTCAAACTGTTTTTACTGGGTATTTAACAAGCAAAGGAGTACTTTTTGTAGGTGATATGTTAGTCTGAACCTTTATATGTACACTGCCATTATATTGTTAAATACCTCAGAGATGTTGTGCAGATATTCCACGGCTGTTAGCAGAGTAGAAGGGCAGACTGGCTGGTGCCCCCTTGCTGCAAGCCATTGTGTAAACCTATCAACAAATTCTTGACAGCGCTGGAAATGAACCTAGAAAGCAAATCAGATTATGAAAGTGTTTGAAGGAGTTCTAAAATCACAGCATATACTGTAATATCCTGTTATAGCACTGTAATAGGAATACATAGTTGTTTTTGATAATGCAATCAAAGCTTGCTTTAGATAATCCCTTTTATGTCGCCTGCCTGTCACTTTCAACAACTTTCTGAATTCCCAGTGTGCTTTGCATCTCTTTCCCTGCTACTTCATGTGATGCAATTCTCAAAACTACATATCCTATCATGCATTGCTTCCAGCAAGCAATGACGATGTTACATTGTTCAGACATTGAGTTGTAGGTCAGAAGGCAGGCTCTGTGAGAGTGGGGACACAAGAAAGGGAATATTCACATGGCTGAGTGAAATTGTGTCAGCGCACTTAGGAAGTACATTCTATGGGCATCTTCAATAGGTAAATTTACTAACTTCTAGATTGAAATGGTAATTAGGAGTGGGATAGAACTTATGAAAATTCAATTTAGAAATACATATTTATTTTTATATACCCGTGCACTGTAAAAGTTGACCTCAAAAACCATAATAGAAGATAATTTCTGCAGTCTATCCCAGTAGTTTAGAAGCACATGTCACATTTAAAACATGTTCCTCTGAACTGAGTGAGTGTGTGCTTTCAATACAACTTTTTAATATGCATTGTGCGGTTAACAATTAATATGCAATATGAGGTTAATGCTGAGTAGTGTTTAAATGTCCACTGCCCCCAGCACATTCTTTTGCAGGCTTTCACAAACACACACTCAGCATCTGTAGCAGCCCTCAGTGCAATGTCCCTCACCATCCACAGTAGCTGCACTATAAAAGGGGCATCCAGAAAGGCATACCGACTTGTGTGGCTTGCTGGACTTTGTTGTATGAAGCTGTAATTCTGTTTTATCGAGGGCTTGTTCACACCAAGTGCGGAGCTGATGCAGAGCAGAGCAGTTACAAAACGCATCAAAACTGCAACCAATGTATTCCAATGGTATTTTGGGCTCTAGTTCACACCAGTGCGTTCAGTTCCAGAGCATGTGGAAAAACTGCAGCATGCCCTATTTTTTCTGCTCTGGAACGCACCAAAATGCATGCAAGCGTATAAAAAAATGCATGCAAATGCCATGGAACGCACTGAAAGTCCATTTTAGGCTAAAAAAAAAAAATGGCCCGCAACACGTCAAAACACACTGCACTGTATGTGCAGAAACTCCTGCAGATCTGGTCCGGATTTGGTGTGAACGAGACCTAGATTAGGCACTACAAAGTGAATCATACAGAAACTAGCAAAATAAAAAGGCACCCTAACATAGGACTCATTTTAATGTTGGTTTTATAAGTTTACAGATCCAGACTTTTTACATTTATTTTTAGATAATAAAACAGCAGGTCCTCCCTTTTCCATAAAACTTAGGTCAGGAAATGGACATTCAAATATTAAGCATTACTAAAAAAAAGATATTTAAACCTTAATTTTTTAATATTTTTTTTAATATAATAATTTTTTTATATGCATTTATATTTATATAGTTTTTCTTGTTTTTTTTTTAATCCTTCAGATGCTTGTTTTCTAGTGAGTCACCGCAGCGCTTTTGCCCCCACATGGGTGCCTCCATAAGCTAAGTGGCTGCTGTGGAGGCACCCGTGTGTGCTCATTCATAGCCATGCTCGCAGTGGCTGTGTGCGTCTATAGACACACACAGCCCTGCAGCAGACCACGCCCCTTGCTCTCCGCCCAGCAATTTGCCCGAGGGCAGAAGGAGCTCATGGCTCCTCTGCCTCGGTATCCTCCCCCAGAACCAGCAAGTTTGGGATGGAGGATCACTGCGGGGACTGGCGGCAGTGACAAGCGTCGCTGACAGGTAAGCTATGGGGGGGATGGGGCGTGTAAAAGGTACTGGGCATTTTTTACCTTTATGCAGAGAATGCTAAAAAGGTAAGAAACGCCCAGCCTTTAGTAATACTTTAACAAGCAGTGAGTACGTTTTAAAACAAGCCCTCACTATTTTTTGTAGCTGCAGATGCTGTGGAGAAATTGATCCTCGATTTCACAAAAGAAGCAGTGAAGTTGTTGTATGTTTTAGGGAACATCTAGAATTGTTAATTGTGCCTGAATATACCCTGAAAATGTACCTTTTGCATGGAATTTCACTTGAAACATATGTGTTGCTCTTCCTGGTATGTATCTGTGCGTAGGCACCGCTGTGCCAACAACATCATAGCTATATATTTGCAGTGTGAGTTCTAAGGAGCTTCTACCTCTGACTATTAGTGTCAGATTTAGATTTGGTGATGTCACTACTGCATTGCTCACTGTTCTCCTTGATGGAGAGAAAGCTGCACCAGAGGGCCTGCAGTGCCAGGATTTTCTTGCTTCGGCTTTATTGATTCTGTGGAATTGAAATTTTGCCTCTCACTGCTGCTTTTTGATTTTTACACCTCAAATCATCAGAATATCAGAGATCGGGGGTGTGCAGCCCTGACACAAGGGAACAAAACCCTGACTCTACCAAGACTGCCACCTCCACACAGAAATACAGTGCAGAACAATGCACGGTAATTCAGTAGCTTTGGAAAAAAACACTGTTGATTGGTCCTTTGGTCCTCTGCCTGCCTTTTTTGGATACAGCTACCACAGTCCAGGTTCTCTTTAAGAGAACATTTCAGGCAGAATATTTTTTTATATGTAATTTAATATACCTTTTAATGCCATTACTATCCCACTTTATTGTGCCCTGAGATCATCCATAAAATAAGTCATTATTTGCTCTTCATAACCACAAATGTCATGTATTATGTACAGTATTTTTGCACTCAATAACCAATAAGATTTCTCTGCCATGTTGATTGGTTGCTCTAGGGAAAATTTCCTTCATGAGACCAGTTGTATCTTTTATCATAGTAGACAAAAAAAATCTTCCTGCGAATGTCTGACATAAATCGTACAGTTAATCACATATGTATTCCAAGTATATATTTATAATGCAGTTGCAGTAATGTACATTATTGCATGAACATTTAAAAAAATACTTTTATGCAGATTTGTCTGCATGCTAGCATGCATTGTCTTTATCAGGTACTGGAAAATATCTGACCCTGTGATCCAGTATAATCCCTTCAGGTAACTCTAGGTTAAATTTCAAAACCAAGGTGAAGTGATTGCTTTTTTTAAAAGTAAAATAAAGCTCTCACATGTGAACTACTAAAGGTTATTGGCACACAACTACATTTTAACTAAACTATAAACACTGTATGCATAACATATCCTGTTATGAACTAAAAGCAGTTATGACAAATAATGGGCATGCAACCTCAAAAAGCTCTGGGACCTATCTAAAAAGTTAAATAAGTATTTCCTGCTGGTTACTCACTCTGTGACCATAGGCCAGGGAGTGAACAACAGAGAGAGGCTGCAAATGGCAGTGCAGTAAACCAGTAAAGGTGTCATTGTAATGATTAAAACAACAAATGTGACATGGGAAATGTAATTTAACACACTGAGAAAGGTGATGGTTTACTTTTGCATATTTGATATGCTTGATCTAGAAAGTGTCAGTCAAAAGAAACAGTGGCATCCAATCAGTGACTATACACTATGGGGTCTATTCACGAAGCTGCCGAAGGATCTGGCCGTAGCTTCGGCCGATCCTTCGGGTAGCTTCGGCCCCAGGACCCCTATTTTATTCTTGTTTTTTTTTACAGCAGCAGAGCCGCCGGACAATAGGAAACTATTGGACGGAGCTAGCTGTCACTGCTAGCTCCGCACAATCGTTTTCTATTTACTTTTTTTAACTTTTTTCACTCTTTTTCTGTTCTGCTCACTGCTACCGGCTATTCACTCACTGCTGTTCTGCATCTTTAAGAATAGCCAAGACCCCTATGTGTGTGGATAAAATTTCATGAAGCATATCGTCACTTACCTTTTGTAGGCGCAAATGCTCCATGACAAGCTGACATATTTCAGGCTCAGGTTCCTGGCATTAGAGACAAAAGGTAGACAGTTACTAATAAGTACTAATAAACTGGAGATTCTACATAGTAGCTCTTGTCAAAGTGTAAATTATCTCAACTTTAAATTCACATAATTGAGACATTACTTCTCTTTTTTAAACAATTAAATGCATTGTCAGAAACGCTCTTAAAATGTACCAACACTGCATGAAAGAGTATACATGAAACTTTCAAGGTGCCATCAGTATGTGCATACCATCAACTACAGAGTACCAATAAAAGGTTTATTACTACTTAATCTTAACATCAGATTTAAAAAAAAACAAGGAGAAGTCTAAGGGGGTTATTCACAAAAAAGTGAAGAGTTAGGAGGAGGCAGGAGAAGCGAACAATCTAGGACAACATAGCTGATTCGGAAAAATTCTCCATATCAGCTCACTTTCCAGTTCAGCTATGTTGTCTTAGATTGGCCACTTCTCCTGCCCTCTACAAACTCTTCATCTTTTAGTGAATAACCCCCTAAATGTTTTTTTTATCTGTATGTTTTTCAGTACATTAACACTAAACCGCTGCAAACAACCTCAAAACCCATTGGTATTAAGATATCTTATGATTATATATAAAATTGGTATAGCCATTCATTTGCAGTGCATTCCAGCAGACCCAAATCACAGATCTGTATTTCTATAAAGTAAAATACAGTATCCAACCAGTTACACAATGAACCAGTGTCTGTCATCTATTTGAAGGAAAACCCCAGGAGGACCAAAAGATCCCTGCTCCAGACCACTAACAGGCTCCTACAGATCAGACTAGTATGGTAAAAATCCATGTGTCATTTCCCAACTGGACAGATTAATGGCAATGGTGTGCAGTTCCAAGCCATGCATCATATGGTGGCACAGAAACTAGAAATTAACCGGCAACTCAGGTTGTTGGCAACTCAAATGATCTGATTATCAGATAATCAGAATTATTTTACCAGTTAATCTAATCTGCCTTAATGCTTACATGATAATTCTCTACATTTGATACAATATGAAAGATCAGAAGCCTGAATGGTACAGTGTAAAAGTCACACAATTAGTCGCAATTAGTCAAGGACACTATATTGTGTCTTTAAATATATAGACTAAACTTAATACACACACATAAACGCAAAAGGTACAAAATACATAAATACCTTCATAACCACAAAAAGGAAAGTGTTTGGCTTCTTTCTTCCTGTTTTACAATGTTATGCCATATGTTACCATATGGCAGTCACCCAATAACTGGTAACCATATCTCCTTTGGCATGATTCAGAACAGGATTCCATGATAAAGTAAACTTTATAATAATTGGGGTAACACGTGCAATGCTTACAAATACCTGTTTAATTTGTGCAACAATCATTTCCAAGGCATCTTTGATGGGCTCCACGTCTGCCTTTTTTTTACAGTTGATTGGGAAGAACTGTATCTGAAAGCAATTGAACAGCTCTGTCTCTCTCTTCATCACATTTTCATAAAACCGTTGTGCTGTTAAAGGATTCACCAAAATGTTACAAAAGGATAACAGGCCATGTTTTCTACTAACTTGTCATATAAAACTAACATTACAGTCTAGCAACTGTCTAAATCTTCATGAAATATTCTTGTGCTTTCTCAGATAGCAGTAGATGAGCAGCAATTACTAAGGATGGTCCTTAAAGTGGACATAAAGTGTAACAACCTC